TCTCATCCTGACCATGTGATGACTTGAATATATTGACATGGAAGTTAACAAAGATTACAGAGTAAAAAATGAAACTTTGTTATTGTAATTTCATTTACCACTGTAAAGGAAGAGAAAGTATGAGCTCACATGCTACATCTCACTAGGTGAGGATCTGGCTGGACAGATAGTATGTAGTGCCTATCTTCTGCAGTCATTTCTGTACTTCTTTGCCCAGCACTACCTAACATAAAAGCCAACTGTCCTGTCAGTTCTTTATCAGCCTGCTTTGCTTGCACAGGGGTGCCTGGAACACTGGGCTACAGGCAAAGTCCTCCAAATTCTTTCTCTCCTCTGCAGTGCCTTACACGTCCTTCTACAGAGACACCTGCCTCCAATGTGGTTTGAGGAGCAGATCTGCTTCCCAACGCCAGACTTTTGTAGAAGATACGCACCCAGGGAACCAGGGCCTGCTCGGTTCATCGTGGGGTTGGCAGGTCACGGAACCAAAGTTTCCCTCTTCTGGGTTTATCCCTTTAAACAGTGAGCCCCTTCTGACATATTCTAAAGAGGAACTGTACATGCCCACCTTTGTGGGCAGACAAGCTGTGGCTATGCTCAGGAAGGAGGGGAAGGAGGAAGGAAGGAAGGAAGGAAGGAAGGAAGGAAGGAAGGAAGGAAGGAAGGAAGGAAGGAAGGAAGGAAGGAAGGAAGGAAGGAAGGAAGGAAGGAAGGAAGGAAGGAAGGAAGGAAGGAAGGAAGGAAGGAAGGAAGGAAGGAAGGAAGGAAGGAAGGAAGGAAGGAAGGAAGGAAGGAAGGAAGGAAGGAAGGAAGGAAGGAAGGAAGGAAGGAAGGAAGGAAGGAAGGAAGGAAGGAAGGAAGGAAGGAAGGAAGGAAGGAAGGAAGGAAGGAAGGAAGGAAGGAAGGAAGGAAGGAAGGAAGGAAGGAAGGAAGGAAGGAAGGAAGGAAGGAAGTTAAGACTCTGAGTGATTTCCCATTTTGTAATTCAGTCCAGCCAGTCAGCCAGTCTTCATGTGCAAAATTCAGCATCCTTTGCCTCCTTTGTGAGATGCTGAGCAGCAAGAGTCCATCACAGAGAATGAATTCTGTCTTAAGAACAGATACCATATGTCACTGTGGCTGATTCTTCATTAAGGGAATTAATTGCCTTGTGGGATTGCAACCTGCTGCAATGAGGCAACAGTAGGTTTAAAATGGGACTCATAGGAAATAGCATAGAAGTATATTAAAATGCAGCAAGAAACCAATATTACCTTCTCTCCTTAAAATGGGAACTTAGTCTCCCTTTGCATAGATGAAAGATTTAAATGGGATATCAGGATGCAAAGCTAAAAATTGGTACTGCATTGCCTAGGGTATCTAAATACAGCATATGGTAAGTGGGGATGTACAGATACAAACCCATTTAAAATCCTTTTTGGCAGCAAGACTTAATTGTCATGTTTTGTTAGGTCTGTTTTGTGAAGCAAAGGCAGAGCTTATGTGCACATGCAGTGCAAGAAAGGATTTCCTACTACGCCCCAGGAAAACTGACAAACCAAACTATTCTCTAATTGAGTTGTGTTCCACTGTACTGAAAAATGCGGTCTTTTTAGCAAACAGCTTTAAAGCTAATTAAAAAGCATCTTTGCTTGTTTTTAAGAATAATGTTATACAATCATGTTTGCATTTTTAGCTGGATGCAACAACGTTTGTCCACAGAAATAGCAAATTGTGACATAATCTTTTTAAGTGGTCTAGATATTTTGATGATAAAACTGGACACAATGTGGGCAGGAGAGCTGGCAGATCTCATTCAAGCTCTGCATTATCATTACTGAAAGACAGAAGCACATCCAAAATATTTGTTTTACAGAAGCACTTACAGAGCTATGATAAAGCAATTGATATCCAAAATTTATATGAAAAAATGTATAGTCACACAATTTTTTATCCCCCAAAAATGTATTTTTGGGGAAGATGAAGAAACAAAGCTTTGTATTTTGTAGTATCACAGTTAAAAGCTTGAAGAGTGGTGGCAAATGGAGTTACATCCAGCTGGTGGCTGGTCACCAGTGATGTTCCCCAGGGCTCAGTGCTGTTAACACTCATGTTAACAGTCTTTATTGATGAAGGGATTGATGACTCCCTCAGTCAATTTGCAGATAACACCAAGCCAGGTGGGATCTACCAGAGGGTGGGAAAATTCTTCAGATGGGTCTGGGCAGGTTGGATTGATGGGCTGAGGCCAATTGTATGAGGTTCAGTAAGACCAAGTGCTGAGTCCTGCCCTTGGGTCATAAACAACCTCCTGCCAGGCTACAGGCCGGGGCAGTATCTGGGAAGCTGCACAGGGAAAAGGACCTGAAGGTGCTGGTCAGCAGCAGCTGAACACGAGCCAGGGTGTGCCCAGGTGGCCAAGAAGGCCAGTGGCATCCTGGCCTGTGTCAGCAATAGTGTGGCCAGCAGGACCTGGGCAGGGATTGTCCCTCTGTACTCAGCACTGGTGAGGCCACACCTCGAATGCTGTGTTCACTGGAGAAGGCAACAGAGCTGAAGAAGGTTCTGGAGCTCCTAATGAGGAGCAGATGAAGGAGCTGCTTGTTTGTCCTGGAGAAAAGGAGGCTCAGGGATAACCTTATTGTACTCTACAACTGCCTGAAAGGAGGTTTTAATGGATTGGGGGTCAAGTAACAAGTAACAGGACAAGAGGAAATGGCCTCAAGTTGCAGTAGGGGAGGCTTTGATTGGATATTAGGAAAAATTTCTTCTCTGAAAGGGTGGTCAGACAGTGGAACAGTCTGCCCAGGGAACTGGTGAAGTTACCATCCCTGGAATTGTTCAAAAGGTATTTGGATGTGGCACCTGGGGACATGATTTAGTGGTGAAAAGGACAACGTCAGGTTAACGGTTGGACTTGATGATCTTAGAGGTCTTTTGAACCTTAATGTTTTATGATTCTACAAACACAAATAATTTGGTGTTCCTCAGAAATTATTTGCATCTTAAGCACTACAAACCATGCTGTTTCACAAACACGGCAGTAAATCAGAAAAATCAAAAGTGAAAACTGAATGGTGATTTTTTTAATCCTTTGTCAGGCTTAAGAAATATGAATTAGTGTTAATTTCTTAAACTTGTTGAACATGATAGTAAAATAATGACTGGCAAATCCTGGTACCATTAGCAATCCTCCTTGAGCACTTTCAGGGAAAGGCCAAAATACCATAAGACTGGTAAAAGAAAAAGACAAAGAGCAGTTCTCAGAAGGAAAGTTGTTGTTCCAAAGAAAATAATTTCTTCTTCATGTCCCTGCTTGGCACAACCTTAGAGAATGGGCAGTGGAATAAATCTGTGCACTGCCTGGAAGGGAATAGAACATTCCTCATTCAATACTTTAAAGAAGAGGTTGGGTAAAGAGAAACCAGCACATCTAAAATTTATCTGGATGATGAAAGATTAACACTGTTTTGAAGTTAATTTATGGCTTCTGATACACACAACAATATCCTTTCAAAATTTTGGAGAGACTCTACAAAGAGACAATTCCATTATTTACACAACTGAATTAAAAAAAATCTTAAAATTACATTGCCTCTTTGGGATTTGACTTGTTTACTTAATGGCCCTCTTGACATAAAAGCATTTTTGGCAGACACATTAATAGTCACTGAAATAAAGGACTGATTTAAAACAGCTGATTTTCTTTCCATCATCTCCTGCTGCAGCAGCACAACAATAGGCAAAATAGCTCAAAGCACAGTCTATTTTTTTCCTCCAGACTTTAAAATCCCAGTGCAAAGCTGATTTTCCATGTACTTCTGATGGTGGCACACACTTGTATTCCCATCAGCCCTGGTTCAGACCTTGGCAACATGCTGAAGTAGTAACAACATGGTCAAAGGCTTCAGCCTAGAAGATGATACTAACATGTACATGTCAAAATAGTAAAGAAAAAACCCACATAAAAAAGCTTTTAATGCATTAGGATGCACATTTTTATTATCCGACTTTTTGTGTTGATGTCAAAGGTTTTTCAAATAAAAACAGTGAAGGAATACACTGAATTATTCATGCTAAAAGTGATAACAGTGGCTGTGAGGAACAGGGAAAAGCAAAAGAAAAGAAAATATGTTTATTGTGTATTGTTGAACAATAAGTTCTGGGAACAAGGAGGAGAGAAGCTGAAAATAAAGTTCCAACAGCTCAACCATGAAAAGATGTAAAACTGAGCCGTCGGGAGTTCTTTTCAGCCGTGGGGAGAGAGGAAGCCGAGTGTTTGAAAAGCAGGCTGATGGATCAGCAAACTGAGCAGGATTATCTGGCTGGATTAGCAGTGCGGCCGCCAGGTGTGCATCTCCGGAGGCGCCTGCGATGCAGAGGACCTGCACACGCCGGAGCCCAGCCGCACCTGCCCCTCGCTGCTTTAACCACCGGGAGCGACCCAGCCCGGGGTTCCGCGGCGCCCCGGCCGTGCCCGCACACGCAGGCTCGCGGCTGCGGAGCCGTTCCGCCAAGGCGAACAGCCCCCGGGCCGGGGGGCTGCTGCCGGCCCCGCCGCGGGGGTCTCAGGCCGCCGGGGCCGCTGCCGGCCGGGAGCGGGAGCGGTGCCGTGAGGGGGATCGGTGCCGTGAGGGGGACCGGAGCCGTGAGGGGGAGCGGTGCCGCGAGGGGGATCGGGGCCGCGAGGGGGATCGGGGCCGCGAGGGGGATCGGGGCCGCGAGGGGGATCGGGGCCGCGAGGGGGATCGGGGCCGTGAGGGGGACCGGAGCCTCGAGGGGGATTGGCGCCGTGAGGGAGATCGGTGCCGTGAGGGAGATCGGTGCCGCGAGGAGGATCGGTGCCGTGAGGGGGACCAGAGCCGTGAGGGGGAGCGGTACCGGCCGCGGCCCACAGGTGCCGCCGGGCGGAGCCGCCCCGGCCTCCCCCCGCCGCGGGGGCGGGCCGAGCCCAGCCCAGCGCGGGGGCCGGGTCGCCGCCGCCCCCGCCCCCTGCCGAGCCGCCAGCGAGCCGCGCCGGGCCGGGCCGTGCCGGAGCCGCCGGAGCTGGAGCTGGTACCGGTGCCGGCTCCGCTGCCGCGGCCGCGCCCGCCGCTGCTGGGGGAGGCGGTGCCCGCGCCGCGCCCCCGCGCCCCGCCCGCCCCCGGCAGCAGCAGCAGCGGCAGCGGCAGCCTCAGCACCTCCGCCAGCTCCGCCAGCAGCTCCAGCGGCAGCACCATGGACCTCTCCTTCATGGCCGCGCAGGTGGTGCGCGACGGGGGCACGGGACGGGACGGGAGCCCGGGCGGGGGCGGCGGGTGCGCATCCTCTCCTCTGCTTTCCGCTCCGGTCCTCTGCTCCAAAGTTGCGCGGGTGTAAACCTGAGCGGCCCCGCGCCTTGGGGAAAGGGCGAGGAGGAGGAAAAAAAGGGGGGAAATGAGGCGGCTGAGCGCTGCTAAGGAGAAGTTGGCGGCGCAGCTCGGGGCGCAGCACCTGTTAGCGCCCGGCGCGGCGCTGCCGCTCCCCGCCTGCCTCCGGGGCGCTGCCGGCGGCCTCGGGCTGGGCAGGGCGAGGAATCATCTCTCCATCCTCCGAGACCGGCTGTAAACGAGAATCCGAGATGCGATTTTTCGGTTCTTTATCCCCGTTCCGTACTGCGGTTATATGTGCATCTGTGGTTTTTTGGTTTTTTTTTTAAACTTGTTGTCTGCGCATACAGAATCCAGCTTGGTGTGCATAGAAATACTCCTCTGTTCGTATGAACAAATTTTTTAAATTGCAGCTTAGTTCTCATTCCAGCTTGAGGCATGACTGTGTGTGTTGGTGTTCAATGTACTCATGCTTAATATACTAAGTATATATGTGTGTATATATATATATATATATATATATATGGCACCCAAAGCCAAAAATCATCATGGTGAATCCAGGTGAATTGGGTTTTTAACAGACAGTGCTGTGCTTGAAAAAAAGCCATACTCACTGACCATCCATTACCTTTTCCAGGATATATTCTTCTATTCATGTGGGTACCTAGAGTGTAATTGGCCTTTTTCAAGAATCATTTGGATCCAAGTTTGCCAAAAAACATCACCCACCATTTAGAGGTAGAGTGGGGGCCAGGAAAGCCTTTCTGCACTGTTGCTGCTTGACTGCTGATGTCAGCTGGAGGTGTTTGTTGGAAGCCAAATCCAATCCTTGAGCTGTTGTTCTGTTTCATTAATGCAATGGTTGTTTTGTTTTGTGCCCTTTCTAAAGTCCCTTTCTGAGGAGATGTCAGGCTCTGCCTTTCTGAAGGTAGCAGTTGGCTGTCCAAGTGTCTCTTCCCTTTGGACGTATTTCTAATAATTTTTTATAAGGAAAACCACAGTGGGGAGGAAAGCATAATTTCTATTTATATTATATCTTCCTGGTAACTGGAGTACCCAAAAGAAATTTTGCAGGTGTCACATCATTTTCCTGTGATCCTTCTCAGCACATTCAATGAGCTCCCTGTGTCCATCTTTTGTTCCCTAAGCTGAAGGGGAGTGCCCCCATGGCACAGAAGCATTGGTACAGCACAGTTCCATGAGCTGAAGGGGAGTGCCCCCATGGCACAGAAGCAGAGGTGCAGCACAGTTCCATGAGCTGAAGGGGAGTGCCCCTGTAGCACAGAGGCAGAGGTGCAGCACAGCAGCAGGTTTTACCCATAGTCAGAGTGGAGTGTGCCAAAGCTGGGACTAGTGCTGCCCATTCTCTTTTTATACTCTCCCTTATTCTTGCTGTCCCATATTCCACATAACTTTTGCACTAATTCTGTGTGTTGGAAGAGTCACAAAGCACTGTTGCTTCTCAACAGTTCCCAGTGCAAATATGTCTTATACTTACTAAGTTTATTAATGCAACAGTTTACAGTGACATGTGCTTTTCTCCCTAATCCTTTGGTGTTAATTTGTTGTTTTCCTTTGCCACAAGAAGTGTCAATGGATAGTTTTTGTTTCAGTGTGAGGTGAAGGCAAGGCAATACACCTCGGGAAGAAAGGCTGGAATTCCTTGGAGCTGTGTGCCACAAAGCCCTTCTGGTGGTGAGGATGGTGGGAAGCAGTCAGGGCTGTCACATCTCTCCCAGTGGGGGCACAGGGCTGTTGGGTCTGCACAGCACAGAGCATGTGGGGAACTCCTCCAAGGGGTGTGTTTGTAACTAATCTTTGATGAGCTGTAGGAGAGGATTTGCTGGCCTCCTTTTCTGCTGAAGGAAATGAATCCAGTTCTTAAGGTCACTGTGAACAGTGGAGGCTGCATTTACCTCTGTTACTCCCCATCACAGGCCTCTTGTACCTTTCTGAACTGTCAGCCCTTTCCATTCCTGTCACCATAATGACATTTAACCCTCAGTGTGACTCCTTTAATTTAGGTATTGCTTGTCTTCAACTTTCTTTTCACTGCTATATCTTGGGTTTTTTTTGTTTGAATCATTTCTGAAGCATCTCTGGTGGTATGCTTCAGTGAGATATCTTCAAGAACAAATAAGAACACAATATAATAATTGGTGTGTGCTTCCTGCTCATAATCACTTTTAAATATACTCTTCTATCACTCTCATTGTCATCCACCTGCAGCAGGTATTACATTTTACCTGATGAATACAAGACACATTAGTATTTTGTAGAAAAATAGGTAATACCTAAACTGAGATGCTTAATGGCATACAAGCAATGGTTACCTCTCAAGTTAATTTATTTTTACAGGATACTGTAGACTACTTATGTTCCTAGATTTTTATTTTTTTTTAATCACACCTTTGCACTGCTCATTGTGGACCCAAGTTGGCTTTGCTAGATGTTGTATGTGAGACAACATAAATGACCTGTGTGTTAGTGCCCCTCTGATGTAAACACAGAAGCAGAGTGTGTGTAAGTTTGGTCACCACTTGCAGCCTCAGGATTCTACAGTGTGATATGAACAGTTAAAATCTGGCATCCTCCTAAAGTACAGCTTGAACACCTCAACTGTACTGTATTTATTAGCTGTGCCATGGAGAGCAGCTTTTGACTGAAACTATTAAATCTGTTGTTAAAATGAGCCTTTTTGCATCAGTGTGTTCATCTCCAGTCAGTAGTTGATGGAGCAGGCTTGGGTGTCCTCTGTTCTGCTGGTGCTCTAATTGGCTTTAGTTTAAGGTCCTTTGTGCTAATGAGCAAGACTCACACCTAGTCAAAGCCTATTAGCAGCTAGTCATTGGGTTTCCATTTTAAATCCAAATTTTAGTTAAAGTAATGCTGTAAGTCTCAAGATGCTGTGCCAAAGATGTTCAGCCACTGCTAAGCTGTATGACTGCCTCATTTCTGTCTGTTGTTCAGTGATTTGAGAGTGCTCTTGTAGTCTAGGTAACCTCAGAAATAGCCACTTCTCATAGGTAGAGACTTTTGCTTGCAGCATAAAAGCCTGGTTTTGGGAGGTGCTGAGTGCTGCACCCAGGCTAAGATCACTCCATGCTTTTATCAGGGGTTCGGGGGTTGCTGTCAGATGCCCAGGGGTGAGCTGCCCCCTCCCTGATTCTTACAGACTAAAAATAATATGGATTTAACAGCCAGCTGATGAAAAAATGTTAATGGGAGCAGGGTTGAAATGTCTTCAACCTGAAAAAAATAGAAGCTTTTAGTGGGGAAAAAAATGGGAAGACAGAGAAAAAAAATGATGTCATGGTCTTCATTATGATCCAAATTGATATGAGCTGGGCAGTACCTGCAGTCGTAATGTTACCGATAGATTTTTCAAGATTTATGTTTGCAATTTAATTTTCTTGAAGCGTTTCCTGTATTTTCTGTTTCATATTGAAAATGAAGACTGGATTTCCTTAATTTGCAGTGTTCTCATGGTTGGGTATGTCTCCCTACAGTAAAAATAAAATTTTAATTGTCAGATAAATGGTCTTTTCTTCTTTTACGTTTAGAACAGGGAAAAGGTAGCAAGAGCTTTGGGAGTATGGCTATTTCTGTGGATTTTTTTGAGTAAGTCATATATAGTTGATGATTCTCCATGTTCAAAACCTCTTTGTAAACAGGTTCTCAGGATTTGAAGTACAAGAAGTTGAATTCTTTATGTATAGTTTAATAATTAAAAGCTGTATTTTTATAATCTTTCATTTCAATTGAAGTAATAGGGGTTCATTTTAAACATGAAAAGTGATACCATGCTTCAGGAGCTAGAGAAACAAATGAGCAAGTTTGGTACAGAAAGCAAAATCATTACAAAATAAAGATAATTTCATTGCTTTTGTGTTCTCTATTACTCTTCTAGGAATTCAGGCCTGGTCAGTGATCATTCAAGTCACTTGAAGTTATTTTCATTGCATTGGCAGTAATTCAGGTCACCTTCCCCACAACAGGGGGGTGGTCGTTGTTGTTGCTTGAAGAAACCATATAGTTCCCTATTACCATGTCAGAATAACAATCCATGCTTCCACATGAAACATACATTATTAAGAGCTATATAACTTCTGAAAAGCCCTGGAATACACAGGATCACTTGAGTTCATTTAGGGTCAATAATGTCATGCAAGTTTTTTATGAGAAGATATAATGGCAGATTCTGCAACTTTGATTTAAAATATCCTTTCATTTTGACTCACAGAATCATAACATCATTGTCATTATGTCATTTAAAGATTGGAAAACACTTTTAAGATCTATTTCAGCCATTAATGTAGCACTGCCAAGTCCACAACTAAACCATGTCCTTAACTGCCACATCTATACATTTATTAAGTACCCCCAGGGGTGGTGACTCAACTACTTCCCTGGGTAGCCTGTTCCAACATGTAGCAACACTCTGCATGAAGAAATGTTTCCTAATACCCAATCTGAGCCTCCCCTGGCCCAGCCTGAGGCTGTTTTAAATTTGCCCTGTCACCTGTTGCTTGGAGGAAGAGACCAACCTCCACCTGGCTACAATCTTCCAGGTGGATATAGAAAGCAATGAGGTTCCCCCTGAGCCTCCTTTTTCTCCAGGCTCGACATGCCCAGCTCCCTCAGCCGCTCCTTATCAGACTTGTGCTCCAGACCTTCACCAGCTTTATACTCATATTTTCCAGCTGACATGGACAGCCCCTGTGCATGCTGCAAAGCTGTTATGTGCACAGAGGGTGTGCTTGGCATTCTTGGACACCCAGCCACCTGGACAGAGCTGCTGCATTTCCAAAAATCCCAGACATAGGTCCAGTATGCTGCAATTCCTTTCTAATGAGATTTCTGGATGTTAGAGGATGCACAATTAGGATCTGCTGTACT